TCACATACTAGTGAAATCAACAGGTAAGGCCAATTTCCCCTGTATTTGTTTCCCTCACATACTAGTGAAATCAACAGGTAAGACCAATTTCCCCTGTATTTGTTTCCCTCACATACTAGTGAAATCAACAGGTAAGACCAATTTCCCCTGTATTTGTTTCCCTCACATACTAGTGAAATCAACAGGTAAGACCAATTTCCCCTGTATTTGTTTCCCTCACACACTAGTGAAATCAACAGGTAAGGCCAAACCCCCTGTATTTGTTTCCCTCACATACTAGTGAAATCAACAGGTAAGACCAATTTCCCCTGTATTTGTTTCCCTCATATTCTAGTGAAATCAACAGGTAAGACCAATTTCCCCTGTATTTGTTTCCCTCACATACTAGTGAAATCAACAGGAAAGACCAATTTCCCCTGTATTTGTTTCCCTCACATACTAGTGAAATCAACAGGTAAGACCAATTTCCCCTGTATTTGTTTCCCTCACATACTAGTGAAATCAACAGTTAAGGCCAAACCCCCTGTATTTGTTTCCCTCACATACTATTGAAATCAACAGGAAAGACCAATTTCCCCTGTATTTGTTTCCCTCACATACTAGTGAAATCAACAGGTAAGACCAATTTCCCCTGTATTTGTTTCCCTCACATACTAGTGAAATCAACAGGAAAGACCAATTTCCCCTGTATTTGTTTCCCTCACATACTAGTGAAATCAACAGGAAAGACCAATTTCCCCTGTATTTGTTTCCCTCACATACTAGTGAAATCAACAGGTAAGACCAATTTCCCCTGTATTTGTTTCCCTCACATACTAGTGAAATCAACAGGTAAGATCAATTTCCCCTGTATTTGTTTCCCTCACACACTAGTGAAATCAACAGGTAAGGCCAATTTCCCCTGTATTTGTTTCCCTCACATACTAGTGAAATCAACAGGAAAGACCAATTTCCCCTGTATTTGTTTCCCTCACATTCTAGTAAAATCAACAGGTAAGGCTAATTTCCCCTGTATTTGTTTCCCTCACATACTACTGAAATCAACAGGTAAGGCCAATTTCCCCTGTATTTGTTTCCCTCATATACTAGTGAAATCAACAGGTAAGACCAATTTCCCCTGTATTTGTTTCCTTCACATACTAGTGAAATCAACAGGTAAGGCCAAACCCCCTGTATTTGTTTCCCTCACATACTAGTGAAATCAACAGGTAAGGCCAATTTTCCCTGTATTTGATTCCCTCACATGCTAGTGAAATCAACAGGTAAGACCAATTTCCCCTGTATTTGTTTCCCTCACATACTAGTGAAATCAACAGGTAAGGCCAATTTCCCCTGTATTTGTTTCCCTCACATACTAGTGAAATCAACAGGTAAGACCAATTTCCCCTGTATTTGTTTCCCTCACATACTAGTGAAATCAACAGGTAAGACCAATTTCCCCTGTATTTGTTTCCCTCACATACTAGTGAAATCAACAGGTAAGACCAATTTCCCCTGTATTTGTTTCCCTCACACACTAGTGAAATCAACAGGTAAGGCCAAACCCCCTGTATTTGTTTCCCTCACATACTAGTGAAATCAACAGGTAAGACCAATTTCCCCTGTATTTGTTTCCCTCACATTCTAGTGAAATCAACAGGTAAGACCAATTTCCCCTGTATTTGTTTCCCTCACATACTAGTGAAATCAACAGGAAAGACCAATTTCCCCTGTATTTGTTTCCCTCACATACTAGTGAAATCAACAGGTAAGACCAATTTCCCCTGTATTTGTTTCCCTCACATACTAGTGAAATCAACAGTTAAGGCCAAACCCCCTGTATTTGTTTCCCTCACATACTATTGAAATCAACAGGAAAGACCAATTTCCCCTGTATTTGTTTCCCTCACATACTAGTGAAATCAACAGGTAAGACCAATTTCCCCTGTATTTGTTTCCCTCACATACTAGTGAAATCAACAGGAAAGACCAATTTCCCCTGTATTTGTTTCCCTCACATACTAGTGAAATCAACAGGAAAGACCAATTTCCCCTGTATTTGTTTCCCTCACATACTAGTGAAATCAACAGGTAAGACCAATTTCCCCTGTATTTGTTTCCCTCACATACTAGTGAAATCAACAGGTAAGACCAATTTCCCCTGTATTTGTTTCCCTCACATACTACTGAAATCAACAGGTAAGGCCAATTTCCCCTGTATTTGTTTCCCTCATATACTAGTGAAATCAACAGGTAAGACCAATTTCCCCTGTATTTGTTTCCTTCACATACTAGTGAAATCAACAGGTAAGGCCAAACCCCCTGTATTTGTTTCCCTCACATACTAGTGAAATCAACAGGTAAGGCCAATTTTCCCTGTATTTGATTCCCTCACATGCTAGTGAAATCAACAGGTAAGACCAATTTCCCCTGTATTTGTTTCCCTCACATACTAGTGAAATCAACAGGTAAGGCCAATTTCCCCTGTATTTGTTTCCCTCACATACTAGTGAAATCAACAGGTAAGACCAATTTCCCCTGTATTTGTTTCCCTCACATACTAGTGAAATCAACAGGTAAGACCAATTTCCCCTGTATTTGTTTCCCTCACATACTAGTGAAATCAACAGGTAAGACCAATTTCCCCTGTATTTGTTTCCCTCACACACTAGTGAAATCAACAGGTAAGGCCAAACCCCCTGTATTTGTTTCCCTCACATACTAGTGAAATCAACAGGTAAGACCAATTTCCCCTGTATTTGTTTCCCTCACATTCTAGTGAAATCAACAGGTAAGACCAATTTCCCCTGTATTTGTTTCCCTCACATACTAGTGAAATCAACAGGAAAGACCAATTTCCCCTGTATTTGTTTCCCTCACATACTAGTGAAATCAACAGGTAAGACCAATTTCCCCTGTATTTGTTTCCCTCACATACTAGTGAAATCAACAGTTAAGGCCAAACCCCCTGTATTTGTTTCCCTCACATACTATTGAAATCAACAGGAAAGACCAATTTCCCCTGTATTTGTTTCCCTCACATACTAGTGAAATCAACAGGTAAGACCAATTTCCCCTGTATTTGTTTCCCTCACATACTAGTGAAATCAACAGGAAAGACCAATTTCCCCTGTATTTGTTTCCCTCACATACTAGTGAAATCAACAGGAAAGACCAATTTCCCCTGTATTTGTTTCCCTCACATACTAGTGAAATCAACAGGTAAGACCAATTTCCCCTGTATTTGTTTCCCTCACATACTAGTGAAATCAACAGGTAAGACCAATTTCCCCTGTATTTGTTTCCCTCACACACTAGTGAAATCAACAGGTAAGGCCAAACCCCCTGTATTTGTTTCCCTCACATACTAGTGAAATCAACAGGAAAGACCAATTTCCCCTGTATTTGTTTCCCTCACATTCTAGTAAAATCAACAGGTAAGACCAATTTCCCCTGTATTTGTTTCCCTCACATACTAGTGAAATCAACAGGAAAGACCAATTTCCCCTGTATTTGTTTCCCTCACATACTAGTATAATCAACAGGTAAGACCAATTTCCCCTGTATTTGTTTCCTTCACATACTATTGAAATCAACAGGTAAGGCCAAACCCCCTGTATTTGTTTCCCTCACATACTAGTGAAATCAACAGGAAAGACCAATTTCCCCTGTATTTGTTTCCCTCACATACTAGTGAAATCAACAGGTAAGACCAATTTCCCCTTATTTGTTTCCCTCACATACTAGTGAAATCAACAGGAAAGACCAATTTCCCCTGTATTTGTTTCCCTCACATACTAGTGAAATCAACAGGAAAGACCAATTTCCCCTGTATTTGTTTCCCTCACATACTAGTGAAATCAACAGGTAAGACCAATTTCCCCTGTATTTGTTTCTCTCACATACTAGTGAAATCAACAGGTAAGGCCAATTTCCCCTGTATTTGTTTCCCTCACATACTAGTGAAATCAACAGGTAAGACCAATTTCCCCTGTATTTGTTTCCCTCACATACTAGTGAAATCAACAGGATAGACCAATTTCCCCTGTATTTGTTTCCCTCACATACTAGTGAAATCAACAGGTAAGACCAATTTCCCCTGTATTTGTTTCCTTCACATACTAGTGAAATCAACAGGTAAGGCCAATTTCCCCTGTATTTGTTTCCCTCACATACTAGTGAAATCAACAGGTAAGACCAATTTCCCCTGTATTTGTTTCCCTCACATACTAGTGAAATCAACAGGTAAGACTAATTTCCCCTGTATTTGTTTCCCTCACAGAGTCAAAATCTTAAAGTTGTCAAAACGTAATGCAAATTGACTTTGAAAGCGTCCATATCTTATACATGTACTTAAATATTTTAAATATTTTTTTAACATATTCCATAAACTCAAAATGAATATATTTGCGTTGAAGGCGTTTCGATACAAAATTTTACACGATGTTCTCAAATTTACAAAACTTTTACCTGCATCAAAATTTTAGTTTTGTTTAAAGATGTACTGCTTATACATTCTTATTAAAATAAATAATCAAAATTTTCAAAACTTTGACAAAATTGTAGTTTTGTGTTATCTTCAGGCGTTATAACTTGGTGATATAATCAGAAATAAGACATTATATTGTTAGAACCTTAGGGTATAGACTTCTGTGATACAACGAATAATGACTGAAAAACATTTTCCAAAAGGGCCCTGCTGTGTAAATACATTCAGCGGAAATTATCCCTTATTCAGAAATGATCAGAAAAAATTCTTTTGTTTCCAGGTAAAGAAAACAATGTAAAATATTAACATTATTACAAATACGATCAATTTACATAATATGATAACAAGTTAAAATAGTAATCTCTCTTAATTTGAAACATATGTTATTTTCGGTCTACCTGTTTTTTCATTAATTCGTTAGTCATTTATTTTATAATTATGAGTTAGCTCAAGTCCTTCATCCATAATAAAATTCAAATTTAATGTACGTATTTTAAATGTATATACCAGTCCTTCAGGCCACACGATTCAATATAGTATTGACGAATGGGTTTACGTGTGATATGAAATGTAGATTACAGCCGTGTAATGTGGTATTTCTTAATATCGTCATAAATGTCAATCAAAGTTTTCAGTACATGTTAACATCTGGGCTAATATGAATATCAAGCCTGTACACAATAAATAATCATATTTTCTGTAAAATTACTGTAGTTTGATATAACGAGTGTTAAAACGACGAAACGTTTACCGTCAAACTACATATAAAGAGTGTTTCGAATGACAAGCTATAATTGATTGTTTATGTTTTGGGATTTAAAGAAACAAGTTCATGAGGTACAGTTATATTTTTTTTACTTTTAAAACTCTTGATTGTTTGTTTTTTTAATATAGTAACTTTAGAACACAGCCCGCCATAACCCAAACCTCAGGCCTATTTTAAATTGAACCGTCTATGTATTCTTTTGTTTCTTCTTTATATTTGTAAAGCTTTACCCTTGTCTATCTGCACGTATGTACGTCTCGAAATTGGTTTCCGTTCTCCAACTTTAGTTTGCCTCAACAAAATGTAATGAAACTTATACACAATGCTTATTACCACAAAAAAAACATATCAAGCTTGAATTTGGGTGTCGTCAATTTTACCTTTCTAGAGTTATGCCCCTTTACAAATGGAAAAATTGCTGAATTGTTCGTTTTCGTTCTCTAACTTAATTTGCCTCAACCAAATGTTATGAATCTTATACACAATATCAAAATAAGAAGATGTGGTATGATTGACAATGAGACAACTATCCACCAAAGTTCAAATGAAGTGGATGTAAGCAATTATTGGCAACCGTGCGGCCTTCAACAATGAGAAAAACCCATACCGTATAGTCGGCTATAAAAGGCCCCGATAATGAAAAATATGAAACAATTCAAGTGAAAAAACTAACGGCCTTATTTATAACAAAACAATTTACGAAAAACAAATATGACAGACATGAACCAACGACAATCACTGGACTACAAGCTCCTAACAATGCTTGTTACCACAAAACACATATCAAATTTGAATTTTGGTGGCGTCACGTTTACCGTTCTAAAGTTTTGCCCTATTACAAATGGAAAACATGCTGAATTTTTCGTTTCCGCTCTCTAACTTAAGTTTGCCTCAACCAAATGTTATGAATGTTATACACAATGCTTATTATCACAAAACTCAGATCAAGTACGAATTTGAGTAGCGTCACTTTTACCGTTCTTGAGTTATGTACCTTTATAACGTTATATATGCAAGCGGGTGCATCATCTGTGTCACATGGACACATTCCCCATTTATTTTCTTATATTTTATGTCGTTTGATAATCTTTAAATTTCCATCTATTTGGAAACAAGATTTCAAGTATCGTCAATTTGTCTCGGACCACCGCACCAGTCAATTGTTCTCTTGTGGATTGTCTCAAGAAATATACTTTTGTGCATATATCATATCTCACGCTTTAACTTTGTCTAGTTCTATATTTAAGTGATTTCATTGTCTAGTGATTTATTTGAGGGTTTACTTTGCCTGGTCCTATATTTAAGTCTCCCAAATAAAGTTTGGAGAATTATTGATTTTGCTCAGGTCTTCTTCTTATTATTATTATTCCTCTTCCTCTTCTTCTGCCTCTTTCTCTTCCTCTTCCTCTTATTCTTCCTCTTCCTCTTCCTCTTCCGCCGCTTTTAAATTTGAACTTGTCCGCACCCGTTCTCCAAAACCACTAGTCAGATTACCTTAGGGTTCCACAATATATTAGACTAACATGTCTAGTGGTGCAATCAAGTTTTGTTCGTGCAATGTGGTTTATAAAGGGGTACTTTGAGGGGCCAAAAGAAAGGATGGGTTAACTATAGAACCCTATGGGATTTTATTTTTTTTAAATTTTCAAATGATTATAACTGTTAGTGTTAGACACATTGTGTCTTCAGGAATGACCATGGGAACATATGGCCTACTGAAATTTTTAAGAGGTCAATTTTGACCTTGATCTTTGATCTTGAACTTTTTTTCAAATTATTCAATAGGGGTTATAATTATGGGGACTTTGTTTGGGAGACTTAGTAACAGCATCCTGTTTCAATCATTCCTTGTTGTTGTTTACTTTGCCTAGTGATATATTTGAGTGTTTACTTTGTCTAATGCTATTTTTGAGTGTTGGCTTAGTGCTATATTTGGGTGTAACTCGGTCTAGTGCTATATGTAGGCGTTTACCTAGCCTAGTGCTATATTTGGGTGTTTACTTGGCCTAGTGCTATATTTGGGCGTTCAATTTGCCTAGTGCTATATTTGGGCGTTCACTTGGCCTAGTGCTATATTTGGGCGTTCAATTTGCCTAGTGCTATATTTGGGTGTTGGTTTTGCCTAGTTTTATATGAGGGCGTTTGTTTTGACTATTACTATAATTGAGAGTTAACTTTGTCTCTAGTGTTATATCTTGATGTTTAATGTGCCTTGTGCTATATTTGGGTATTTACTTTGCCCAGTACTATATTAGGGTGTTTACTTTGTCTTTCTAGTATTAATTTGGATGTTTACTTTGTCTAGTGTTAATTTGGATGTTTACTATGTCAGTCTAGTGCTATATTTGGGTGTTTAAAGGAGTAGGCCCAGTAAGACCCCTTTTTGGCCACAAAATATAGCAGTTTTACCAAATTGTTAAAATGTAAATTTTTAGTTATTTATTGGAAAAAAGAATACTTCTGTTACATAAATATAGGCTGTTTTTGACAATACAATGCACATGTATCGGGTACTAGCATCATTAGGTCATGCTTAATTACTGAAATCTTCGAAAATTTAGCATTATGGTTAATTTTTAGACGGTTTCCGTCTGAAATGGAAGTGGCCGCATTTGTGTTCATTCTTAATATTTAAATGTAAGTTGTATTTGATGATAATACATAACATATATAAAGGTTGAGAATGAACACGGATGCGGCCACTTTCATTTTTGACAAAAACCATCTGAAAAGTGACATATTATGGCATATTTGATAGATTTTTCATATTTAAGCTTGAATTTGAGCGTCTTTAATGACTAAATCAGTTCAAATCTTTCACATAAACTAATTGAACCGACTGAAGTAGACACTTAAGTGTTCAAAAAGTGTTCAAAATCTTTCATCAGATGAACCTGAATTTTGAGGCCAAAATCGGCCCTTACCGGACCTACTCCTTTTGTTGTTTGCTTCTATTTTAGGGTTAAAAATAATTTGGATTGTATGTTTTTGCTCACCTGGACCTAGGCTCATGTTTGCTATTGCTATCAGCGGGAGTTCCTAATCACCCGTCGTCCACTGTCGTACATTTTTTCCCAAAACAATCTTCTTTTAAAGCACCAGTCCAAGATTTGTCAGAATCATCTGCCGGGTGTAATTTTTGGGTGGTTTGAGTGTTAAACATGAAAGCGGACATTTTTGTCATGTATTTTTACTTGATTAAAATATTTTGAAAAATATTGATATCTGCAAGATAGAGTTAAGGTTTATAGAGTTCATTTTTTTCAACAATTACTTTTGGTGTTGTGTTTTTGAAAATGTGTATACTTTTTCTGTGCCCTCAGTTGTCAAAGGTGGATTACAAAACTTTATTTTAATATATCGTTGAGACGTTTTTTATTTTATTTTTCAGCGAACGATGAATAAAGAAAATAAACACCGACCCATAGGTATTATTGGTACTGGAAATTTTGCACAAGCATTTGCATGTCGTCTTCTACAGTCTGGATATGACGTCATTCTTGGCAGTAGAATTCCAACAGAACGCATGATTTCTAATACACATGACTGTTGGTGCAATATAAGTATAACAACTGTGGATGAATGTATTAAAAATACAAATACGGTAGTTGTAGCAATTCACAACAAACATACGAGAGATACGCTGTCTCCATTTGTAGAGATGTTAAAAGACAAAATAATCATTGATGTGTCCAACAAAAAATGCCTCACTAATGGTCCTTCTTATGCGGAACAACTTCAGAAATTACTTTTGCACTCGTCAGTTGTTAAAGCTTTCAATGTAGTTTCAGCATACGACATGGAAAGTCAAACTTCCGGCGGAAGTCATAATGTATACATTGCTAGTGATGACTTTGTTGCAAGGAATACAGTTGCTGATTTGGCACGAGATTTAGGATTTTCGCCAAAAGATTACGGTGTTTTGTGGAATGCAAGAAAAATCGAAAAAATGCCATTACAACTATTTCCTGATTGGAAATTTCCAATCGGCTTTACGTTTCTAGTATTTATCATATGGTATCTTTATGTCATATTCATTTATTTTGTTGAAAAAACCAGCTATAGCTGGGAGCAGATATTTGTGAAAGTAACAAACAAACCTTTGTGTATGACAGCCTTGACAGTTCTGGCTTGTACTTATTTACCCAGCTCAATCGCGGCAATGTTTCAGATTTATAATGGATCAAAACATGTTAGATTTCCAGGTTGGTTGGATACATGGCTTCGTACGCGAAAACAGTTAGGCCTTATTGCTTTCACTCTCGCTTTTGTGCACGTTATCATGTCCGTTCTTATCATGAGCCCAACATATTTGAAGTCTTGGTATCATGAAACAGAGATAGTTATTCCGAAAAATATTACGGCTGAACTACATTTTCCCCTTAGGACATGGATGACGTGGAAAGGAGAAGCCGCTTGTTTAACTGGAATTATCGCTTTTTTGGGACTTTGCATTTTAGCCGTAACATCCATTAAATCAGTAGGTGACCAGTTAAATTGGAGAGAATGGAGATGCATTCAATCGAAACTAGGTCATGTTGTACTTTTATTGTCACTTTGTCATGTGATTGTCATGGGATCTCCCTACTGGATGAAAGCTGGCCCACTTAAAACTGTTCGCTCAATAACATTTCTCAGTTCAGTTTTACCTATAATAACTTTATTTCTAAAACTGTGTTTTAGTTTGCCTATTTTAAGTGGTTATGTGAAAAGAATACGACATGGATGGGAGCGAAAAAGTAAAAGATGTAAAGCTAAATGTTCTGGATTTGAAGGAACAGTACTTGGTACTAAATACCGACCGATCGTAAACGGAAAGAAAGAACTAAGTGATTTCCGAACTTTCGAAGCTTCATTGGAAGATACTGACATCGACAATTGTCAATGTAATGATGCTACCAATTTCGTTTGAAGATGACAATAAATATAAGACAGTTCTAAATCGTACATCCTTTCGCTAACTAAATATTGTAAATCTCATTCTTTCAATTATCTACTTAATTAAATAATTGGATCCTATGTCTGTTGGTGTCTTTTTGTGTTGTTAGGTTTCCGACTCATTGACGATTACCCCACATCTCCATTTATATATATAAAGTTAAAATTGAGAATGGAAATGGGGAATGTGTCAAAGAGACAACAACCCGACCATAGAGCAGACAACAACCGAAGGCCACCAATGGGTCTTCAATGCAGCGAGAAACTCCCGCACCCGGAGGCGTCCTTCAGCTGGCCCCTAAACAAATATGTATACTAGTTCAGTGATAATGGACGTATATATATATAAATGGAGATGTGGGTTAATCATATATATATGAAGCACCCTTTATTACTCTTATTGAAGGAACTTTGCATAGCTAAATGAATAGTTATATATTGGAAGCACCCAAACAGGGCACACAACCAGTTCAATTTGGTCTGGTTAATTTCGAACTTTAAAATGTGAAGAAATTGTATTAGGTAAGACCGCTGACCCCCATGACCGGCCATTCGACTATTAAGAAATAATATCCTAGAGCCATAGCTTATGAAAGTGAGTATATACCCGAAATTCAACTTAACAAAATAACGATGTACTAGTAGTTAAATACATCATCCGGTAGCTTTATTGCATGGTTTTAAAATTGACAGCGGCATTGAAATGAAAAACCAAATAATAATGATTACACAATAAAAATAATTTACGAAACAATATGGTAAATGTATATCGAAAAAATACAATATTTTATTTCTACATAAAAGCTACCGGATACTTAATTTCCTTCTGTACTTAACATTTAGTTTTGCAGTTTGGAGAGGGGGATTTGGTTTTATGTTGGGAATATATATCGGTAATCTAAATAAACTTTACTTGGATGGAGAGTTGTCTCATTGGCACTCATACCACATCTTCTTATATCTATTTATTCCAATTATAGTCTGCTTGAAAATATTTTGTTCTTCAAAATTTCATGGTAAAACGTCTAGGTAAAATATCATGGTTAACGAAATGAATTAAAAAGATGAAAATGTTGAGACAGTTTTTTTTTTAATCTATAACTCACTCCACTGATATAATGTGCTACTTTTTTCGATATTAGCTTCGTGTTTCTAAAATATTATTTAAACCTTATTTTTTTTAAATGGTTGGGATTAAAGTGTTGTACTCTCATTGTATACTGCCATAGTGTTATCCGTTATTTGCCTGTCGTAGATTTTATGGAATGTCTGTGTCACTGATGAACACGGATATATCTCAACTGCCGTAGCCAAATGAGACTAAACTTCGAATTTGTACTACCATGAGTAAAACGACAGGTGCCACATGTAGAACAGGATTTACTTAACCTGTTTTGGTGGGGTTCGTGTGTTGCTCTGTCCTTAGTTTTTGTGACGTATTTTGTATACTGCTGTTTGTCTTTTCGACGTTTTTTCGTTTTTCTATGATTTTGTCGGTTTCTCTTCGACTTGTGAGTTATAAATCTTCTTTTGGATATACCGTACGCCTCATTTTTATACACATAGCTTAATTTACTTTATTACTATTGGTTAGATGTAGTTCTTTTATAAATGGTTACTGTATTTTCTGTTTTAGTGAGCCTCCTCATGGGTTTTTTTACTATGTAATTACTTGGCCGTTTTTATAGTGATTATTTGATTATCAGACTAAATATTTCATGATTATTTGACTATTTGATAATCTTGGACTGTATTTTTGATTATTTGATTATCTTGTTTAAAAAAATAATTAATGATTATGTGAGTATATTGGCAAAAAAAAATGTGATTATGTGATTACTTGGACACCCCCATGAGGAGCCTCTTTAGTGAAATTGTAGTATTGAGATAATATCTTTTTTGAAGGTGAACGATTTCAAAAAACAAGATGGTCTTCTGATATCTAAAAATATATTATTCTTTGGGTTATATTTATCGATTTGAGATGTCAGCCATGAGATAGCACAATAGACGCATTTGACTTTTGTTGACTTTCCTACAATCTACCTTATGTCCTGGCTTTACGGTAAAATGATATAGATCTATTTGAAATATATTAAATAGAGAGAGAGAGAGATAGGGGAGCAGTTATAGAAACATTTATTGCCTACAACAATGCAATTTCAACACAGTATTTAGTATGCAAAAATTGAAAATACTAGAAAGTAACTGACGCAAGCGCGCATATTAAGATTTAGAGTACGACGACATCACAATTATGGAGACGAGGTTGCTTGTTGTTGAAGAAATATGGATGTCAAGCTTTTGTTTTACTGAATTTCAGTTTGAATGAATTAACCAGTCTTGATATAAACGATCATCGTAAGGGTTAATTGAAGACCTTCAAAATATTATACAAATGGATATAATCTATGCATTTTTAGATTTTAGATATACGCCAAAGAGACCGCAACACAACCATAATATAAGTTAAATTAACGTATTCTCCTTTCATTGAAATCATCTTTTTGATAGGGTTGAGATCTCACAAAACATATTTAACCCCGCCGCATTTTGCGCCTGTCCCAAGCCATGAACCTCTGGCCTTTGTTAGTCTAGTATTTTTTTAATATTTTTTTAATATTGGCTCATTTATATGTTTCGGAGTTTAGTGTGACATGTTTGCTTAGGGCCAGCTGAAGCCCGCCTCCGTGTGCGAAATTTTCTCGCTGTGATGAAGACCCATTGGTGGCATTGGGCTGTTTTCTGCTATTTGGTCGGGTTGTTGTCTCTTTGACACAATCCCAGTTTCCATTCTCAATTTTATTATTGTTGTGTAGAACTCTATTTGGTATACAAATATATAAAATATTCACAAATCATCATGTTTCTTTAAGCGAAGATGTCTTGTGAAGGGAAAATTTTATTTGTACCATGATCGATCATTATGGTTAATCAACCGAATGTTAAATTTGCCCCTTGTTTCTCCCACGTACTGCATACCACAGGTGTTACATGTAAACACATTGAATGAGTTCTCAGTTTTACAGTATGAATACACGTATATGGGTTAAAATACTGATGACAAATAATTGGTATTGGTAGTTTTACATAAACAATTCATAAATTTCTAGGGCCGTGATAAACACCATTGAATGGCCAGAGTCAACTTAAATGATTGGAATACAAGTGCTATTGTACAAATATCAATACAAGGAAATGTTTCCTTTCTTTCAAAATAGATTAAACTGTGTTTAAAACATAGTTGTGTAATTAGTTATTAGTATACTCATTGTACGTAATTTTGACTTCTAAAATACAAATTTCTCCCCATCTGGTCACTGTCTCTGTACTACTACTATTGATATATTAAAGTTTCATAATATGAATTGAAAAGTATTCTTCAGCAAGTGAAATTTCATAATTAATATACATGAAACCTGTATATTTTTTAGTGTCTTGGTAATTTATTTATTGGTTGAAAATGTATCAAGCTAGCGAACAGTAAGATGTATCGAGCTAGCGAACAATAAGAAAAACGCGCCAAACTCATCATGACTGAAAACCGAAGACTTGCAATAACATGAAACGTCTTTTGAAATCTGATGACAATAATTTCCAGCAGGAACACGAAATGCAATACATTTTAACAAAGTCAAAATTGATTAGTTATTTGTTTATTTAATGCAACATAACAATTGTACATTATGTCAAACACAACTGTACAGAGCATAGATCCTGTATTTTTTGTTTAATTTTTTTATCTATTTATAGACATTCTTTTTATATTTTCCTTGTCTTTTTTCCGAAAAATTGTCATATATTTGTTAGATATATATTGCAACTTTCAATGATGCCTTTGATTAATTGGTTGGTTGATTTTGGTGTTTAACGCCACTTTCAGCAAATTTTCAAGATCATATGAAGAGCAACAGTCTTTATGTTCTCCTTCGCTATGCTCATACGAACATAAATAGTGTCTTAATAATGCGTAAATAAAACAAAAAGCAATGTGGGATGAGAAATTGAACTGATCAGTTTAATAATAAATTGTGACAATTCTGTACATCATGGTCTCTAAATCTCCGAATAAATGGTAGGAAATCTACAAATACAAAAATGTTCAATCAGAAAAAGAGATAACTCTATTTAATAACATATCATGAATGCAAAATATACGTGTCGATCTGATCAGTGAATTTTTCTCGACAAGAGAAAAGGCGGGAAATCGAAAGATATATATGTATGAAAACCGAATTACCGAGTCTAGGCGCATGTAAATATTTATTCGCCAAATTAATAAATGAATGTATGAACTGAACATCTTTTTGCAAATTAGTTAGAATTATTAATAAATGCCAATTATTTTAGGGAACCAATTATATCTTTACCCATAGCATTGGTATTTATAAAAAGTAAAGGTCATTTATAAATCATAGATAGAGATGATCTACCCGTGACAAGTGTTCAGTTTTATTCTTTTAGTTTGTAGAGTTTCTTGTTTGGATGGTTTTACACTAGCCATTTTTGGGGCCTTTATATCTTGCTTGTTCGGTGTGAGCCAAGGCTTCGTGTTGAAGGCCGTACTTTGACCTATTAATGGTTTACTTTTACAAATTGTGACTTGGATGGAGAGTTGTCTCATTGGCACATCTTCTTATATCTAATTATTAATTCAAAGAAATATATTTTATTTATTATTGAGCAACACATATTGAATGATTTCCAGTCACTGTGAGAAGGTAGCTTTTACGGAAAATACGTGGAATATATCTTGGGTCAAAAATTTGTAAAATAGAGGCGGAAGATACCAAAGGGATATCCAAACTCATAAGTTGAAAACAAACTGACAACGCCATGACAAAAACACGAAGAGACAAACAACAGCATACAAAACACAACATGGAAAACTAAAGACTGACCGGGTGGTGATATCAGGTTGTCGGAAGGTTAAGCAGATCCTGCTCCACATGTGGCACCCGTCGTGTTGCTCATGTAAGTATAAACCCGGTGATAAGTCTAATTCGTTAAGTCACATTCTTGGAATAGAGGACGGGGTTGTGGTTACAACAATTAAAGCTAATAAAACAAGGAGATATCAT